AATATATATATATATATATATATATATATATATATATATATTAATGAGGCCATTTATTAAACCTTTAGACAAAATATTTTGTAAAATTCAAAAAAAAAAAAAAGTTTAATGATAGTAAATGGAAAGGGTTAGTGATATTTTTTTAGCATATATTTGATACATCAAGCTTAGTATGATATGAGAAAATGGAGCTCATACTCGAAGAGGAAAAAACAACTCAGTTTTATTCAATGGCCCAAATTGAGCGAAAATATGCAATTTGATGCAGATGCTAGTATTTATGTTGCTAAAAATTAAGATTAAATTCTTATAGTTTGTAATGTAAAACAGTGAGATCTTTATAACAGTGTAGCAGACTACTTACATAAAATGCATTTAAATATCAGCTGTCACTCTATATTGCCCAAAAATAAGAATTTTTAAATGCTTGGTTTTATGATCAAAGCTCTGCAGTTTTTATTGTGACAGCAAAACATAATATAGGCCTAATACAATACAATGATCATTGAGAGATGAACAAATAAAAAATCCTCAAAAACCTGATGGATCATATTGAATCAACCCTCTACAATGCAAGTAAATCTGTTTTTGCAAATAAACTCTTCATATATATATATATATATATATATATATATAATAAATTAGTATATAAAATATTTAATATTAGTCTGGCGAGTAAACTAAAAAAATTACTAGCCAATGGCGATTCTATTGCCAAGGTGTCAGTAGAGGGTTGTTGAATACATTTTAACATGATTTTTCAAAAAAAATTATGAATGGATAATCAAGTAAACCTAAGCTGCTTCAGTCCAGTAGATGTTCGTCTTGTAATATTACTAACAATTTAAGAGTTATTCTTATGTTTACTTTAAAAATCATTAAAGATTTCACATTTGGCCATTTTTACAATTGTTTTACAAGGCATTTTTCTTACAAAAAAGGTATAAACTATCAATCAGACAGAAGGCATGTAGTAGATTGTGTACAACAGGACTTTTGGCAAAGTTTTGATCATGTTGATCGTTTAGAGACCTTAGAAATTTGTGTTTTGAATGTAACACTTTATTGCTTTATCAGAATCAGAATGTACATTACTCTTCTGGTCATTGCGCTGGAAACCTCATTAACCAAATGACCATGGTATAAGCGTGATAATGCATGGCTAGCTGTGCATTAAACGATTTTAATGCATGATGTGGAGGCCAAGAACCACCTGACCCATGCAATAATGGGTTACAGAATGTAACCCATTATTGGGTTAATGATAGTTTTTCACTGAGCATGCATTGCATTATGGAAATTGGATTTTTGGGAAGCATAAATGTGATGCTTCCTTAGAAGTTGGTCAACATGAAGTAGATGGAAAGCAGCATCATTTTTATGTAACAGCTTTTATAGTGTACCTATATGATGCCTAAAATGTTGCGTCTTACTAGGGATTGTTGTTGGAGTATATGTGAGTGTGTTTTTAACATTCACCATCAGCTTTATGCAAATATTGTGCTGATGTTGTGTGTTTAAATATTGAGTGGTCCTTCTGTTTCACTTTTTTTGTTTTTGATCTACAAAAGAAAAACAATTTTGCCTTTGAGAAATGGGTTTTCCTGCCCCTGCCTTTCATCTCCTTTCTGCTCTTCCTAAAAACATCAGATTGGACAGAGAGCAAAGGATTGAGGGAATAAATTAGATCTTTTTAAGCACAGGGTGACTTTGCATAAAACAGTGACTCAAACATAGTAATGCTGTTGCATTTCCTTTCCTGTCAGAAAGGAGAAAAGCAGTCAAGGATGTGGTTGCAGTTAACACTCCAGATCATTTAAGCTGTGGTGCTCAGGCAAATGATGCAGGTTTGAATCCGGTTTGCGATTCGTTCTGATCCTATTTCACCCTCCTTAAATAGTTTCCACTCTTCATTATTTCAATTAAGATTCAAAACGTGCATTGCTAACATAGATAGTAATACATTATAAGTGCACAAATTAAAGTCATTATCATTGATATTGTATTAGTAAGGGATAATGCATGGGTCGGGTGGTTCTTGGCCTCCACATCGTGCATTAAAATCGTTTAATGCACAGCTAGCCATGCATTATCATGCTTATACCATGGTCATTTGGTTAATGAGGTTTCCAGCACAATGACCAGAAGAGTAAAAATGATGGTTATTTCATCAGTTACGGCTCGCTAGCATTCTGCCTGCTTCAAATCAGACACAGAGATGAAATAATGCTGTAAGATCACATTTATTTAAATAAATCGATAGAGAGAGAGAGAGAGTGAGTCAGTGTTTAGACATGCATTGACTCCTAGTTGTTGTTGTTTTAATGTAAGGACAGTAGAGAGAAGGGACAGGGCATCATGACATGTTGCGATTCAGAAATGAACCCATGTCTGCCGCTTGAGCACCAGGAGTACTAGCTGCTAGATCTCAAATCTAATTCACTTAGGTTTCAAATTCATCCTTTTAATGAAGAGAGTTTGTGTGAATAATTGGAGTTGTATATGCCAACGGTAATGCTAATGATGTTAATGCTATTGTGTTTGTTCTTACAGTGCATCAAGTCTTACATCTCTGATTGGCATGTGGTCAACTACAAATATGAGGATTATTCCGGTGACTTCCGTCAGCTTCACAAGTAAGAACCTCAATTAGACCGAGACATGTTACAGCCTGTGACTGATTATAGCTATAGGGACAGAGGACTGCAAGGTATCATTGTTACAGTGTCCTCCTAGGCTGCTCTCTCTCTCTCTCTGTGTGTGTGTGTGTGTGTGTGTGTGTGT